AACGACAGAGACAGTCAGCGACAAAAACAGACTGCGATAGAGACAGACTGCAATAGAAACAGACTGCGACAAAAACAGACTGCGACAGAGACAGACTGCGTTAGAGATTGGCAACGAGACAGACAGCGACTGGGACAGACAGCGACTGAGACAGACAGCGACTGAGACAGACAGCGACTGGGACAGACAGCGACTGAGACAGACAGCGGCTAGGACACACAGTGACAGGGACAGACCGCGACAGGGACAGACAACAACAGGGATAGAGAAATAGTCACAAATATATTGATCAACCGGCAGACTAATAGAGACAGATAAAATACCCTCATACCACAAACACAACTTAAAACATCTTTGAGAGCGAAGTCTTCAGCGACTGGAGTCAGTAGCAACTTCGCTGACCGGAAGACGTCGCGTCGTAGGCATAGATGTCAACGTTTCGTTCGCCATTCTGTAACCTTCCTTCCGGCATTTCACCCTGAGGAAGATCGCAGAATGGCAGCTGAAACGTTGGCATCTGTGGCTAGGACGCGGCGTGTCCCGGGCAGCCAAGTTGCTATTAAAACATGTATACTTTACCTGATACTGGAACCCACCTACTTCTTGCATATGCCTCAAGACTCTGAGTTGGGGAGTAGACATTCTTTAAGTATCGTTTCAAATGAACCAAGCATAATTAGATACGGCCAAAATAAAATGTTTTTGGGTTTTTGGATCCATAATATATGAAGAGAAAATTATTTTTGGTTGGTTGGATGGTTGGTTGTTCGTGATAACTACTGAGGTCATTAGCTCCGTAAGTGTAGTGCATGTTTTCCTCGCGAGGATCTACCCTGTTGGATGGCGAGATACGGCGCCAAACTACGTCGTCTAGTGGGGTTATTTCTTGGAACTTAATGCAAATTGTATGATTACATTCACTTATCACTTACATTCATGCTTTCAAGAATCTGGCCAATTCTGTTAGTCAGCATACAACCGGCTCACCGGGTCTACTTCGCAATTTCATTAATATCTGATATATGCCATAATAATATCCTGGAGATAATCGATAAGACATTAAAGAGATATTTTGTGTTGGATGACATTTGAATCTCCATAACTGTTTATAGTTCAATTATTCTAATTACGCATTAAAAATCATTGAGTTTGAAAAATATAGATATATGAGTGAATAGGAAATTTAAAATCCCCATTTGTAAAATAGATCACATCAAATATTATAATTTAAAATAGTTTGGCATTTTTTTCTGCACTGCGCCAGCCACACTATCCATCGGGTATTTCTATTCCACGAATAGTAGTTATTCTTTGGGCGAATAGTTCCGTAAGTTCAATTCATGGAATATGTCGAATAAGCGAGTGAAGTTATTGGGAGTTAATTTTGTACTTTTTTGTAGCTTAAGCTTGGAAGTGCTGTGATGGAATGTTGTACGACCAAATTGAAGAATTATGGAGAGATAGTGATATATAAAGTACTAATATGGTGGGTAGTGTATGAGAATTTACAAATGAAAGGCGAAATAATCTGTTGTGACAGCGATTAAGCAAGGTGAAGAAAGATTGAAGAAAATCGTTGGTAGGGAAATTTTGCTAAACTAACTTACAAGGAAGAATTCAAAATGATTGCCAGGTAGTGTAATTCATTTTGTAATATTATGAAGATATAATTGAGGTTTATTATAGCGCTTACATTTACAGTTCTGATTATTGAAATAAACTACTACTCCAATTTGATTGGTATCACGCTCTGTACATTGTGCGATCGTATACCTTGTTCCCCCATAACTCGAGATCAATGCCTCATCTAATTAAACAAATGTCTTGTACTTTTAGTAAACCTGACCTACACCTGTTGAACAAAGTATTTTAGTTTGGTTATTTATCGCGTTTTGCCAAAAGGAGTGTACAATGACAAGGGTAGAGTGAGGTAGTAAGATTTTGTCGTAACCTCGTTCCTTTACTCTCCATCCTGATTTCCGAAGGAGATTCCGCTGATAGTTCATGCCTGTGGAACTATGACAATATCGTCTCTCTTTGGGGTCATTTTTGATGATACTATACTAGAATGTGTCGTCTAGGAATACTAGTTGCTTATTATTGATCACCTAAAGCACTTCACTTGAAAAATAGTTCATCTTAATTGTCTGAGATTTAGTAGAGCCTACTCGTAGAGGTATGAGATCAATTACTATAATAACCTAATATAATTGTATCTGTGATGGAGCTGAATAGTTAATTTCTCGTTTGTAACAATTTTACTTTGTTAAATATTTATTTTTAAATGCATCTTATTATGGAAATATGTGTACCTTTATTCCATCTTAATTTCATGGATATTTAACTTATTTCCTGTTCGATACTAAACCTAGTTGGCGTACTTTAGTTGGTGCCGCTTAAACCTCAGTATCACAAACTCGCAGTTTCTCTGTAAATTGAAATTCGTAAGTTGGAAATCCTCTTGAGTTTCTGCTTCACGTTGGCAATCCTGGCGCGAGGAAGCGTAGAGGGAGAAGTTCACAGGGAAGTTGCTCTATACTCGAAGGAACATTGAAGGAAGTATAATGAGAAACCATTTTGTGTCTAATTAAAGAATAATCGAAACTTAATCACTTTTGTAACGTATACACAGATGTTTTTTGTGCTCACTATCCAAATATTTTGACATATAGGAGTAAACAAGGCTTTTTTAAAAAAAAGTTTATTAATCTGAAAACTACGTCGATTATTTTATATTTTATTTCATACAAATTAAAAGAATTATTATCTCACAGAGTTCACGTCTCAAACGTGTTTCCTACACAACCAGGAAAAAAGGAGATTCAATGTTGGCAAGAGTGCGCATGTATTATTTATCACAACAATCATTAAAAAATAATATTACGTAAATAATGTTCGGTACTACAGACTTGAGTGCGTTTGAATGCTAATATGTAGCCTATATTATAACTTTGGAATTCACAAAAATCACTATTCAAAAATGACCTCATCTAGTTGGATCAGGAACAGACAATTTATCAGACCTGTGAACATGTTCGAAGCGTTGGCCATCTTCGTATCTCAGTGGTTAGGGTAAGTGAGAGGAAAGCAGGAGACTCGGTTTGGATTCTCGCTTGGAATGATTACAGCGTTAAACAATTTAAATTATTGGCAATGTCTTATTCCTGCTTCGCTCACTTTCTTCCACGTATTTTGCATGTGAAGAATTGACTATATTTTATATTGCTCATGTATATTTGTTGATTTTTCTAAATTTGCTTTTGAAACTGGAGCTGTTTCAGTAACGTTGAGTCTTCACACAGTGCACTCATATCTCGAGAGAATTAATACCAGAAGCCACGTGCAAAACGCGCCCCCTGGAAAAATGAAACATCTACAAGTGAGCGCATTTGTATTTATGCTCACATATTTGAGGATAAATTGACCATAGCCTAAGCGTGCTAGTCATTTTTGAATGTAATAAGAAAAAATGAGAAAAAAAATATTTTTTCTGTTGCAATATTTTATGTGGAATGTTTACGTAACAATTACACCAACGTTTTATATTTCGTTTAATCTTCCCTGAAGTACCTTGATGCGTAAATGTAGTTAGGGGTTTCTCTGCGATTTCAAAATACGTTTGTGTATATAGCTGGAAACGACCAAAACAGAAACTAGCTCCAAAGTTCAAAAGGCATACCATCGAAAGACTAAGTTCGTTTTGAAGGCGCAGACTTTTATTTGCCTACCCTCTTTTTTTATTGCATTTCAAGAATAAAATAACTATCTAGCATAGGGTGGGAAATCAATAATTCTGAAAGAATATTTGTTATTCGTGCTCTACTATGTATCAAGACTTCATTTAAGTTGGGAATTACCGTTTACTCGTATATCAATGCACGTAACAAATTTATTTTAATTTTAACACCCTTTTCATTTAAATGGTTATAAGTGTTTGAAAAAGTGTTTGTGTAAAGTTTGAAAATTAAACATTTTGACAGTTTTAAATTATAAAATAGATATTGTTATTATTATTATCATTATTATTATTGGTGTAATGTAATGTCCTTTGTTTTTAACGACAATGAATTTCACGTTTCCATTTGAAAACATTTATTTATTCATTTATTTTAAGTTTCAGAGCAGACCGTTTCGTAATCTGGTTAAATGCCTAATCAGGTACTATAAAATTTAAAAAAATACAAATCGATTTCTGAAACAATGGTATAAAAAAGAAAATAAAACAAATCTAGTTCAAAACAATTACACGGTAAAAATCTAGACGTATTCATCACGAATTCAACATGAGAATGAGTAAATGATGCTGAATAGAAGGGGAATCGAGGCAAGCGATCCAGAAGGGAAGGATGAGGGAATTATAGTGAACGCGATGAGGACCCAAATGTTGTACAATACAATTTACCTCAGTAGACTAGCCTTCCTCAACACTTCAGTCCTAACTAAACCCTTGAAATATCAATGTTCTGTGGAGCCTCCATCTAATGTAATATAATTACGAATACCTTCATCCTTATTTATACCGTCAAATAATTCAGCTATGTGGCAGGGTATACAACTATTGGCCAGAATGGTTAAGATAAATTGTTTTCTTTTGGCTCTTATTCTTTCATATTCTGTAATATAAGTGCCCCTACTCTCCTATACTGCAAATCTCGTTTAAATCCCTTAAGTTTCATCTTGGAGCCGAATGACATCTTCGTTGTCTTAAACAAGATTGGTCTATAGTCGTATACCCTAGCACATACTTTTAATACCATTTGACGGAATATTCCAAGACAAGAATGAAAACAAAAAGCGCTAATACAATAACATTCGTTGTTTTTTAATGTTCCGTCAGATTTGTTTTCTTCCACGCCTGAAGTCCATTTATATGCCCATTGCTGCTAATGCTCGCAGAGCCCTGGCACCCCCCATGGCAAACCGCAGCCGGCGTTCCGTCGCGCGGCGGGGGGGGGGGGCGGCGCGTGTGCCACGGAGTGGATTTGCGGGTGTGTTCGCAGAGTTCGCCGAGGACATCTCGCCCTACGCCACCTTCCACGTGCAGAGCCAGCCGGCGGCGTCGTCCCCGGCGCACATCCAGGCCTTCGTCTACCACGACCACCGGCTCGCCGCCATGGAGACGATGAAACTGAAGAGCGTGAGTTTGCAGTCCGGCGCCCGCCCTTTCAGGCCCTACCAAACCGCTGGCTCTCAATTTGGGGCTGGCACAGTGCTCATTGTCGTTTTGCTTTACAGGCGTGTGCTCACGAAACGCATATTTAAATTATGACATCTTAATGTTAGTGATAAAATTGACAAGACACAATCTTCGTATTTTTGTAATTCATTATTGGTCTCTTTTAGTGTTCATTGGCATTTAAAAAATATTTATGGCTTCATCGACATAATGGATATTCAGTATCGTGATAATATATTGCGTTAAACGAAATAAAAAATAAATAATTTATGACGTAATAGTTATGAAAGATATGGGTACACGATATACAAATTTAATTCTATTTGATGTTTTTGCTTTCATTAAGATAATCCAAAGTGAGATGTAGGTTAGTGAAAACTGCAAGTGTATTTTCTTCCATTCATTTTTATGAAGATATGTCATTAAAGCTTCACTCATATGTATTTGTTCCGTACACAAGATTATCTAATGATTGCTTAATTAATCTCCTCCCTCAAGTTGTGGAAACGATATTAAAATATTTTTTACAAAGTCATGCACGACAGCCGATTTATGTTGGAAACCCTTTCATCCTACCTCTCCTTTACTATGAATGATGAATGATAAAAAAAGATGCTAAATGTTTCACATTTGTATTTATCAACAAGGGAAAGTACTTATGATTATTTAATATGTTACCTTATAAAGAGCCAAAATAATCATAATATGATCATATAGTCATAATATGATCGTGTATTCTTGGTAATATCTACGAAATTATAAATGCTTGACGGCGACACACAGCGTTTATATTCACGAAAAGAATACAGCACTGGCATCACTACCAAGATTGGCATTTACGTTATCAAAACGATAATTGATTAATTGCCTAAATCCTTTTAAAAATTCTCTTTATATGTCTTGGTATCTGAACGATAGTGTATTCTTTTCCATCTCTCCTTTATTCTCCATCCAAAACAGTATTAATTATTTTGTACATGGACTGTGAGTTTCTTCGACATCACCTATTTTGTCAATATATGGTCCTTATATCAAAAGCCAGGATTTGTTGGCTCATGCACATAGCATAGCCTTTCTATTTTCACAGCAGCCGTTTGTGCAACGTCATTCAATTTTTTGGCTTTCAATCGACTATTGGTGATGCGTATTCTCTACTTCAAAGAACAGTTAAGGTTTTCAAACAGGAATATCAATACCAGTACATTTAGATCGTGCAAAGCTGTATAACCTTTCCCCAAAGTCAATATATTTATGAACTTCCATTTTTACTCGAAACCCTAGAGAGAATCAAAGCTAAGTAAAAATATTTCTATCACCACGAAGTCACGTACATGACAGTTTATAAAGTAATTGATCAGTACTCAACTACTTCCAGTGATGTTTCAATGGCTGTAGGATATATTATGAAGTATTATCAAATCAAAATGGCATTCATGAATTTAACATCTTTTGATTTAACGTATAAATTGAGATTTTTATAAAGTAAACTTTTTTTTCTAAAATGTTTAGGAATTATTTATGTGATACTAAACTAAATATATTTCATGGCAAATTTAATTCAATATCGGTGAAATAATATAAAAAACGATAATCTACAGTGGCATTTTGGCAGTGAATATCACACTCGTATCCTTCATACTATGAAAAAGTGATAGTTATTGCAAACATATTAGTGTTCCATAAAAATTCACCTAAGTAGGCAACCAGTGTTACACCATAAAATGGCACCCGAGATTCAAAGATATGGCATCCGGTCGAATACAGGGAGCTAATAACGGCTAGTATTTTGAGTTGTTGTGACATACATATTATGATAATAGTTATATCATAAAAAAAATAGGGGCAAATAATATTCTTAGGATAAGAGATGTGATCGCTGCATTCGCGCTTAAAAGCATTCTATATTATTCGTTGCATGTGAGAGTTGTATATTCGAGTAATCTATCTAATGACTTTGTATTACGCTCTTCACTCTACGTAGTGTTTTGTGCAGGAAAATAATATATTATGAATTATTTCTGGTGCGTTTATTTCTATAAGAACTGAACTTATTACAAAACTACGAGACTTTGTAAAAGCTCTCTCAACATTCTTAAAAGTAATGAAATATTTTTCAGTTAATGTTTCGTAAATTAGAGTGGATCCCAAAGCGCTGTGCGGAAAACGTAGAGGTTTCCAGCATTTTCAGTACTGACGTCTGCAAATAAACCGGTGCACCAGAAGAGTCTTGGAGTGCACAGAGTCAAAGGAAATGGAGCGCGGTTTCATCTTCTCTTGTAATGTAATCAAGCAAAACGTCCTCGAGTATGTATAACTCTCTCTAGTGCTCCACTGAGTAATGCTTCAAAAAATCGATGTCACGATTTTGCCGGAAATGCACGTTTTGGAAGTCCCTCACACCGAAAATGCGTTTTAAGGCAAAAAGCAACTCCGTCCGTCCGCCACTCCGTCCGTCCGCCACTCCGTCCGTCCGCCACTCCGTCCGTCCGCCACTCCGTCCGTCACTCCGTCCGTCCGTCCGTCACTCCTTCTGTCTGCCCGTTCGTCCGTTTATCTGTCCGCCCGCTCATCTTTGTCATCTCGTATAGTATTTATACTATATTATGTATGCGAGTCTGTAGAATGAAATGAAATTGTCCGTCAAATATTTATTTAGTAAAAAGAAAATCTAATACATTCAAGTCATTTAAGGAGAGACGGAATTTGAGAAGCGGATTCTGAAATTGCCGCTTTTAGCTTTATTATTTTGACGATTTTTACCTCTTGTATAGAAAAGAAAGAATTTTACTTAAGTTCTTTTCATTTTTAACACAAGAGACGACACCTGAAATTATCTTCTCGGGATTTATACCTGTGGACGTCCACGCATGATAAAGGCATCTTAAATTGTTCTGGTTTTGCAAGGAAGGTATTGACAATATAACTTTCATAAATTCTCAGACACTAAGATATATATGTGTTCTGAAATAACGTTTTCGATTACCAATAATGATAATTCTAAACCGCATCTATTTTTTACGGAAATTTAAAGGGCGTGTTTCAAAACTCCCAAAGGAAACCTTCAAATCGCAGATAACGTAGGCTTGCTCAATTCAATAAATCTGCAAAATAAATATCAATAAGTGTTAAGTCTTTTTTTTACTATAATCAAAAATGAATCACCATTTTTATGGAAAGACACAAATGGAAGACTAAACCGGTTTTGTAATTCGACATTTTATGCTCATTTCCCTTAGAACCACGTTGTAACATTAATATTAAGTTAAACTCGCATACAATCAAACAATATTACAGCAATGGCAAAATTTAAAATAAAATATTAAAATTATATGTTAAAAAATTCAAAATCTAAGAAGCTGCCTAACGAATCAAAAGAAATAACTTCGTGCATAGAACTGTTGTTGACAACGCTTCCCCTTCAAAACTTCTCTTGCACTTTTGCTGCAAGTAGTCGGGGTCGTTTCTCCCTTATCACCCTTTCACTAGTCACATCTTCATTAACTCAGAATCTCTGTCCACTTTTTATATCGATTGATACTGCCCCTTAGATCTCGAATGTGGTCAAGAATACTACTTCGTGCCGATTGAAGAGCTGCCCTGGTCAAGCCAGTTCGTCTCCTTCTGCGCCTACTTCTACGTGCCCAGATAGTCTATATTCAGAACACATCTATCTATAGTTGTACAAAAACTGTTTATATTTGAGCATGTGATATGACTACATGTGCGTACCTCATCAAGGACAAGAAGTTGGCAAAACCTTATTCGTGACAGAGTTTGCACAAACAGGGGATATAAATCAATAGACAGTGCTCTTCGTGATTGCGCAGGGTCACATGCAGGCGGTGATTTAGTTATTGACGACGTAAAAGTCAATAGAAACTGGATTTTGCTGAAAGCTATTGAAGGAGATGCCACTGCCTTTCGTGTTCCATTGGACAGACTAGAGTTGAGCTGACCGGTTAAAAGGGCTTACGGACTCTTAGTCACCCGTCTAAGCCACATTCGACCGTTTTTTCGGAGCGACCTTCCCACTCCACTTACAGTGAAAGGAAGAAAAGAGTTGTAGGCGGCCAGAGGTCCTGAAAAGGATCCTTAGGACTTTGCAAACCCTTTAGTGTTATCTTTGCTATCACAATACATTGCAACAAACTTTTCCTGAAATGATCGCTATGTCACAGAATTATACTAATCCTATTTATACTAACACTAATACTATTTATACTAATACTAATGTGAACATAAAAAGTAGAAAAAAGCATTAAGAGATTTTTAATTTAAAACATAATTTCCCTAATATATAGTATTTTTTATCGTAAAAAACAAGTTAATTTTCGCGTTTCGTACGTATTTTTCAATGTTTAGTCTGGTCACTTTTTATGAGTTATATAAATGGTGAAATGACATTTTAGTACACAAGAACATAACGACCGGCTGTCACCAATGTCTCATCTATGTTCGCTGACGACTCTTTCCTTCTGCTATAGAAACCCGTCTTAGAACAATTACGCACACCCATGATATTTTAAATGGCGTCAGTTCAGCAGTCTTATCCGCAACTGACATCAATACAAGAGTGTGAGTTTTTCACGCAGTTTAGTGTAAAAGTATATTCAAAAGGAGCTACAGTTATGCAGGCAGTTAGAAAAACGATGTCACCATTTCCTAGTTAGCCGTAATCAGTGAATTATCGAGTTTTCGTGTTTGCGACGTTTTCTCGTTAACAAACTGAATGTGTGTTGAACACAAATTATTTAAGTAAGTGTAGTGCATGTTTTATCACTGGAGGTGGCGCTGTTCTTCCCCCAGCCGGATGGTAATATCTGGCGCCAACTTATACGTCGACTTGCGAGGTTTTCCCCAACCAGGTATCCGGGCGGCGGGCACCACCCCAGCCGGGACAAGCTCGAAGTTCCCGACTGCGTCTCCCAACATGTGAGATTGTGTAGTGCCTGTGTGGTGTAAGGGGTGAGGATAGGACAAACAAAAGGAAGGAAAGATCCCGCGGTCTCCAAGTTCCGTTTGAACTGCTCTGGCTTTCGCCTGATGTTGATCGG